TTTCCTTTCCTTCTCTCTATCCCATCATTCCTTTTTGAGACAGGCCTACGCTATGTAGCCCAAGATGCATCAGAGCTGGAAATCATCCTGCCCAAAATTCCAGATACTGGAATTACAGGCACACAAGGTCATTTCTGACTTTTATTTTTCATAAACAATTTTTAAAGACTGAAAATTCCAAGAGAGCCCACCAGTCGGTCAAGAGGATTCCTAGACAGGCTGACATGGAACTGAAAGATACTGCTCTTTGTCCCAAGCCCTTTCTATCTCATCATGGGGCTTCCTGAAGTTTCCCTTGATAGTAGGTCCTGTTTTAGACTCCACGAGGGAGAAAGGAGAAACCCGCTTCTAGGTAGATGGGATTCAAGCAGCAAACATTACCACCTGCCAGGAAAAGCAGTTGTGTTCATCTTAATCCATGTAGCAGTGGGAAAGACAGATTTCACCAGAGGCTGGAATGTGATAAAATCTGATGACTGGGGCTGGGGATGTAAGGGGAGTTTACCTGAAAAAAAAAAAGGGGTTGAAGGTCAACAATGTGGATGCTCTGAGAATACTGGGAGAATTCTGCAGAATTTCTCACTGGTATCAGTGTCATGCTGACTGATGCAGTAATACATGGCTCACCTATTAAAGAACCTATCGAAAGATGAATCTTACACCACCGTGTTTGTATGGTACCCACTGCACTGAGAAGGTTACACATTAATGGGATAAGGGAAAGTTACCCATCTCTATAAACATGCCTCTTCCCTAGGACTGGAGGAATAATTTGCTCATGAGATACATTTGAAACACCCTGGCTTTGTCAGCCAGCCTGACTATCAGGAAGTATGAATCAACAGGATGAATCTCTCATAGCTCAAAACGCTGGTCATTCGGTCCAGCTCATTGTTGTTGATATTGACTGTTTACAATCCGGTCTTGGAAACAGGCTGGGACATGAAGGGCTGTCTGCTCTTGATGCGCTGTTTCAGCTGACTGCCTGGGTGAGCTTGTGAATTTACATCCAGTTAGGGTCACAGATGTCATTTGCTATTTGTTTTTTTTTTTTTCCTTCTGCTCAAAATGTCTTGACAGTCTACCAAGCAAGCCTGCCAATTTGTTGACCTTGGAGAGATATCCTGATATTATTTAGGTGTTAGGTTAAAATTCCACCCTCCCACAAACACCTTACTGTAAGGCCTATTCTCCTCTTTATCAGCACAGCACCCTGGTCCTTTCCTTCCTTGTGCTGATCACATGGAATCTCTCTCTCTCTCTGCCTGTCTCTGTTTTTAAAATCGCTTACTCATTGTGCATGTGCTGTTTAGGATGTCAGCCTTCAGAGGCCGTCATCACACAGATCCATCATCATGGTAGCCTAACAAAATGCTGAGCACACTGACTGCGCTTCAAGAAGGTGGCATTAACAAAAATATAAACAATATCCCATATTTTAAATTCCCACGGATCTGCACATTCTGATTCTTAAGAAAAGATAATTCTTGATTTGTGTTTAGTGTAAAAACGCCTTGGAGATATTTAGGACACTGGTTTGAGGCATTTCATGTAAATGTTTTATTAATACGCCTTTTAAACATTATCTGCAGGTGCATTAATTTGAAATATCTTTACATTTGTGAGAGGAGAAACAATGCCTCCTTAAGTCTCTGTACTTCAGGCTTATCTTGAATTAATAAGGTGTTGATCTCCAGATGCTAGGATTAAATGAAATAAAAGGCCCACATCATGCTCAGAAAAGGGACTCAGTAAGTATTAGTACAAGAAACAAGTAACTTATTGTACTGAAAATATTGGCAATCTTCTCAACAGAATTCCTCTTGGGAAACATAAATTAGAAGAAAAAGGGAATACTCCCTACTTGTATCTGTAACCAGAGACACTGTACTGCCTTTCTCTTATAAACAGAGGCTCAGTACCACAGCTTTTCATTTGGGCTTGCTTATACTTACCAAGAATTTTTTTTTTTTTGTAACAGAAAATAAATTTGTTGCCTATAAGCTATCCTCGACAAGAGGCTGGGAGAATTTGAAAGAGTGTGGTCCAGGGAAGAGATAGATGTTTCTCTCCCAAGAGTTTTAAATGTGAAATTCAGTGGCTTTTCAACCAAGAAGCTGGACAAAGTGTTCTTCAGCTGAGGTCAAAGGGCAAGCAGATACCATTGTTTCACCCTCAGATGCTGCTTCCTCTGGTTGTCCTTCTAAGAATGGGTATAAATCCTTTTTTAAATGTGCTGAATCATGCTTAGTTCCCTTGTTTAAGCTTGCCTCTGATTAGCATGGGGAATGCTTTCCCTGGGCTGTGGGAATCTTCTGTGTTAAGTGAGGGAAAGGTGAGCTTCAGCATTTTCTTTCCAAGTCATGACTGTGTTTTGTCTCCATGTCTTCAGAGTCCAGCTGCTTTATGTGCTGGGTTTCATTTTTCTAGGGCTGGGAATAGAACTCAGGGCCCTATACATGCTAAGCCCACTCAGCCATTGAGCTACACCCAGCCCCAAAGCAGTATGCTGCATATGAACATGGGTGAAGGCTGTGAGTACTTGCAATCAAGAATAGTGGAAGGAACTCTAATG